CCTTTGATGCCTACTCTGTGTTGCCTTAAATTGACGATTACTGGGTGTTTCAGTTTCCCTACCTTTAAATAAACATCAGCTTTACAGATGAGGCTTACATCATTATGTTTATGTACCTTGATGCTTGAAGAGATTATTTTATAAGTTTCTAAAACCAAACACAGAGATTCAAAAAAGCCTCACAACAAAACAAAAAACAATAAAAATGATTCTGCTTTTTTCCTGAGGGCATTAAGATTTATTTAATAGTAAGCAAAGTTGTACTTAATTGCCAGATTAAAAAAAATATTCAAAGAAATACTAATAAGCTGATTCAGTTTTATCTTTGAGTTAGGAATGTTAGTTTGTTTTGGTGGTTGGAGAAGTGCTTGCATGTAGGTGGTTTTCTAGTCTCTGTAAGGAGAAATACTAAGCTACATAGCAATATAAATGTAGCAATGAGCCATGAGCATGTAAACAATTCAAGCTTGGTGTGAAATCTGGGAGAAGAAAAATGTGGGAAACATGTTTATTAAGTCAGTTTCCAGAGTATGTTTGTACTTCAAAATTTTGCTGGAAACCAGCTCTTGACTGTGGCTAGGCCACTGTATGAGAGCTGCTCTGAACTTCTGAACAACTCTGTTTTCTGTAGCACAATTGACTGAATTTATCTGTGTCCCACTAAAATAACAGGAGATAGTTGGGGGTACCAAGACAAGGTTCCAGTATTGACCAACATGTATTTGCAATTGACAGCCAGATTTTTCCAGGCAGTGGAGTGATTTGTTCCAGAGCTTGGTCATCTGTGAAGATCTGTTGTGTGGTAGACCATTACCTCAGCTGTTAAATAGAATGGGTTGGTAGCTCCAAATTATGGCATCAGTATGTAAAGCAATAGTTACTAAAAATCTAGTGTTAAAAGGATGGATCAAAACCTGAAGGAGTTCTTGAGTATTTAATTAAAAAGACTTCAGAGGACTCAGATGAGCATGAAATTTTTCCAGGAAATAGATTTGCCACAGGTTTTTTAAATGCTCTGAGAGCTAAATATGCCATAATATGCATTAGTTTTGTTAAGTAAAACTTCTGTTCGCCTTCAGGTGAGGAACTAGAAGAGGTCAATGAAATTTTAGGGCAGAAAAACAGCAGCTTGTCACCAGCTAAAAGAATTTACTGAATGTAAATCTGACCTATGCATAATTTGTTTAAAAGAAAGAAAAGAGACTTATTGTACAAATTTTTTACACATTAAAAAAGCTAAAAGAAAAATTACTGTAGGAAACAAAACTGTTCATAATAGAAATAACAAAAATAAATGCTATTTTTTTTATATTTCAGTAAAACCTCTGTACAATGTAAAATGAACTCTTAAATATAGAAAGAAGAGAGTCCAAGGAAGAGGGGATTTCCTTTGGGAGGAAAGAACTCTCAAAATTGCTGGACTTAATTTTATATAACTGAAAACTTGGGGTTTAAGCTCTCTATTAATGTGTCTTTCACATATTCCTGACCTCACCAGCTAGAGAGAGCTGCCATGTTACTAGTCATTAATATTTTGTCTCAAGTTGAGAACATGGAATGTAAATGTTAGAATATTTATTTAATTGTTGGAGTTTTAAGAATTAAATGAGTTTTTGTTTTAAAACCCAACAGTAGAAGGAGGAGGAGATTAAGTGTGAAAAGAAGCCAATGTCAGACTTCTTATCTTCGTGGTTAAGAACAGTAAGTAGTTCTTCCATGGATTAGATGTGGCTTTTTCTGTGGCTCGGGCTCCTTGTAGGCAGAACTGTTTCTTTTGTGACTTCTAGTGCAAAAAAGGTAGAAGATTTGCAACTCTTCTTTAAAGCTAAGTGATTTAGCCATATTACATGGGGATAACTAAAAATTTTTATCACTTTGATTACTAAACTTGCAACCATCCTTTTTAAGTAGCTTTGTAAGAGTGAAGAAAAAAAGGAGAATTTGCAGTAAATTTTAAAAGCTGACTAAGAAGGTCTCTGAGCTTTATAATACTATTAATGAAAAACTAAATGAAAAGAATATACTAGCAAGTGTGGGTCTGTGGAAATTAGCTGTATAGTGAGTTATATATTTTTATCAGAGTAGAACCTGGTTTGTAAATACATCTGTGGAATACACTGGAATTTCTACATGGCTTTTCACTTGCGTGTTCTGATTAGTAAATTAACATGTCACAAGTGAAATGGACCAAAACCTCACACAATGGCCATAAGTTAAAGCAACAGATTCAGCCTGGATTTATGAGGAATTTCTCTGTGTGATAGCAGTCAGGCTGTGGCACAGGCTGACCAGAGATGATGTGCAGTTTCCAGCCTTGGGATTTTGGCATGGCTGGATGAAGCCCTGTGCAGCATCACCTCACCTCAGAGCTGACTCTTCTGTGAGCAGGAGGTTGGACCAGAGACCTCCTGATGTTCTTCCAGTTGGAATAATCCTCTGACCTTGTGAATGCCCAGTGTTGTTCAGAGTGTGTTAGTGTCAAGCAGCCTGATTAGGACATTGGCTTCTGAAATTCACTCCTACCTCCAGCGCAGTGCCAGCATACATGCACCTTCTACAAAACCTGCTCTTGTTTTTCACTGACAAGTATCCAAACCCTCTCTCTCCACTGCTTGGGGCAGGGGGGAAAAAAAAGCAGATCTTGACAGCATCTCCTGGTGATTGCGTCTCTGTCTTGTTTTTCTCTTGTGCTCCTTATTTCAATCTCTGGACCTATTAACTTTAGAATCTTTTTGTGTCTTCATGGTCCTTTAAAGACTATAGCTTATAATGCTGCCTGTGTACTTCTCTTCTGTGTCCTTATGTCAATCTTCTGCTTTCATAGCTGTCTTCTCAGTGCTCTGTTATAAATCCCTTGAGCAGGAACTTTGCTGCTATATCTGCTCAAGCCTGTAGCTGTAGTTAAAACACTGACATTTCATATACCATAGAATTTTTCTATCAGAATTTTTCTATCCAAAATTTTCTAGACTGTCCAAGTCAAAAGCTGCTTTTTAACATATGGTGTATTACTTTCTACCTGTGTTCTCTGTGTTTGAGGGGTGAAGTTTGACTATTACCACAATTTTAGCAGAAAAATGAGAGAACCCCAATGGTTACCCCAAAGAGTGGAGAATGTGCAGCTGAACAAATTAAAGTGGATGAAATGGAAAACTTTAGTAAATAATTGGAAAAACATAAGTTAAAGGGATCAGAAACTTATATAAATTTGACTTGGGAGAGAAGGAATTGTAACATGGATGTTCATGTTATGAACATGATGCATAGGTCTACCTTGTTGGAAGAACTGCATGTGGACCAGACAGTATTTAGTCCTGGTGGTTTATGTTGTCCTGTATAGTGCACTTGTGGCCTTAAGTGTAATTTTTTATTCCTCTCTCTTTTTTTTTTTCCTTTTTTTTTTCTTTTTGATACTTCAACATACCTAAAATAATAAGACAGCTGTGTTAGCTGTGTTGTATCTGTCTACAGTAGTGTGGTGTTTTT